GCCGCCGTTGGCGAGCCACGTCCGGGCCCGGCCCGGGCCCGGAACAGTGCCGAAAAAAGGCACTGTGGCTTCGAATGACCGGGCCGGGCCGGCCCGGGCCGGCCCGGCCTAATTCCGGCAACGGTCACCACTGGTGACCGTTGCCACCCGGGCCGGGCTCCGGTCCCGGGCTGCCCGGCCCGGGCGTTGACCCGGCGGCGCACTGTACCGGGCCGGGCCGGGCCCGGGCCGGGCGCCGCTGAGGCCACCCGGACCCGGGCCCGGAACCCGGCCTGGCCCGGTTTTCCGGGCCGAGGCCGGGCCGGGCCGGGCCGCGGCCCGGCCGGGCCCGGGCCGGGCTCCGGGCTGGGTCGGGCTCCGGGCTGGGCCGGGGCCGGCGGGCTTTTTGGACACCCCTATATGTTAGTGAGCGCACACAAAGCACCAAACCTATACCCCAAATATGTTTTTCTTTTCAGTGGATTTGAATGATAATTTAAATTTATGTAATACTTTATATCCCAAGTTAGTAGGTTTGCACACCTGGAGACCAAAAGCTCATGAGAGCTATATGTGGTCATGCTATAGAAGTTCGCTGGGGCAATTGGTGAGCACAGAGATTGAATTACATCTACTACTCGAGGAATTTATAGTTCTTATAGCATTTCATGCTCACTGTAGTCTCTATGTGGAAGATCTTTTGTCATCCGGCCAGTTATTTTCTCTTGGCGATAATGTTCTCTCAAAAGCTGTATTTATATCCTTCATGCTATACTTGAGATTTCTTTTTTCATCCAGTTATTTTTCTTAAAGAACCTATTTAGGCTTTTCTTCATTTTTTTAGTAATAAAGAAATTATGCTAAAACTTTATACTTTAAATTGTTTTGTTCCAAGTTCTGAACCTCCGTCAACCTATGTTGCATGGTTACGGATACGGGTTTCGGTACGGATATGGTATGGGTACATGACATGAGTCATGACACAACAAATTTGTAAAAGGCAGGGTATGAGGACACGGCTATATAAACATTTATATACACATATATTATAAATTGGAATTAATAACTTATATGAGAACTACATTCCTATAACATGCATTTTTATGTTTCTTTCATCACGTGGATTATAATTTGGAAAATCACTAGTTTTTGAACTAGACATCCAACCGACCCTTCAAAATCATAACTTACAACTTGATCTATGTCCAACGAGTTTCAAGAAGTGGAGGTGAAGTGTATGATATATGTCAAAAAAATGTATAACAAGTTTTTTTAAATTAAAACATGTACTGTATAATTGTGCACATGCCCGAATAAATGTATGCATATATGCAAGGAACGTCCAAGGAGTTTGGATACAGGTATGGGTACGTGTCGGGTAAGGGTACGGCTTCAGATTATAAGTACCAGATAACATAGCCGTCAACACTCTGGGCGTGCGCAAGAGAGAGGAACAGGGGGGTGGGCCCCCCAGCTGTGGGGCCCACCCCCTGTTCCTCTCTCTTGCGCGCTGGCTGCGCGTTGCTTTTTGCGAGCCAAAAAGCATTTCGCTTTCAATTTTACTATAGAATTCCCATATTATCATGAAACACTGTACAAGTGGATTTCAATAATAGAAAATTACGGAAGCCTGTCATTTCTTATATGGACATGAGTGCTGGAGACTTTCATTGCCATTATATATCTTCTCAAAATGCCTGTAGAAGTATGAACCTCAATGTACGTTCATTTGTACAACAGTTAATACTTTCATAACGTTATTTATAGCACATATTAAATAATGCTTTCTGAGCTACCTTAGGCTTTCTTTCTCAATGAATCAAAAGCTTGATCTTGCTGTAGGAATGTTTTATACCCTATCCCATTAGTGATCATCCTCATTTAGGTTACCTTGACTTGAGCTTTTTTATTGTGCAACTTGTTTGAAGTATATTTTGATAGTAAACTGAGAGATAGAATAAGAAATGTGTGTCATCGTAAGAGATTGGAGGTTGCTCCTATTGAGGATAAAATAGACGAATTGATGATATAGTCTCGCTAAGTGCAGCGGAGGCCACAAATTTCACAAATTAGGAAAGGTGAACATTATCGTTAATAGAGTAAGGAGGATTTAAGAAAGCTTAATAGGAGGCAATTAAAAGGGATATGATAGTAGTTAACTTAACGGAGGAGATAACCCTAAATAGCACTGAATGGAAAAATATGATTCATGTGGCTGACGCCAAAGGCTTAGTTTTTGACTTTTTATAAGTTGTTGGAGAATGTTTTAGAATAATTGTCTGCAAGTTATCCTACAGGGTATATGAGTGTTTTCTGGTTTGTTTTTTAGGAT